CACACACACACACACACACACACACACACACACACACACACACATACACAGACACACACTGATACACACACGAACGCAAGCACACGTACGCTCACCTTTGCCCCAACCACCCCATGCACGTGGGCTGACGTTTACATAATATTCGCCCCTTTTCGAGGATCTGGAGTTACTCATCAACACTGTATTGGTTTCTCCTGGAAATAAATCGCTACCTTAAATTATAAAGTTCTATCAGACAGTTTGGTCGTTTTGAGGTCAGAAACCAAATGTTCTATTTGCTCTATCAAAATAGTATTCGGAGTCGTTATCAAGATATTGAAAAATTGCATTCGAAAAAGCTTGATATATAGTGAAACTCAAACATTTCTTACGTAAAATTTCTCAAAACCAGATACTGAACCGAGAGAACTTAGTAATTTTAGCGTAGTTAAATGTGCTGGTACATTCCACTCCACTTGAAAATGTGTTAATCAGATACCAGCGTTGAAGATATTCGAATGACTTACGCAACACACAATGATGTAAAATGATCTTTTCAAACGCTTCTGCCTGTTCTTCAAAATAGCTCAATCTTTTTCAGACGCTCTGTGTTTCTCCGAGCTGGGCACTCTCATCCCTAAAGCTGGGGGTACCTACACTTACCTCAGACTTGGGCTCGGCAACGTTGTCGCTTTCATCATGAACATACAGGTAAAAGAGTGTCCGGGGTTTTTGTTGTAGCTGAAAAGGATACAACATCCTAGCAGAAAGACCGAGATACTAGATAGAAATTGCCTCACCCGAGGATCGAGCTCGGGTCTTCTGAGTGCAACAGCGAAGCGCCCAGCCGCTGCACCACAGACGTCGTTGTTATAGGGAGTGCTCAAGCTAAACTAAAACAGCTTGAACGAAATCGAAAAGTTTCGTTTGCATGTTTTTGTGCTATTCAAAATTATGAAACTCAATGAGAACCACTATAGTTGTTCAAGCGTTTTAGTACCAGAAAGCAACATGTTTTAGTGACAGTGGAGAAACTGTTTTATTCTTTTAATAATACTTTACTTTATCCGTCCTCTTGTACCTCGAGGGCGTCGAGGGGAGAAAGGGCCTCCTGTCTCTAGCAAGTTTGATGGCCTGGCTGTTTGGGATGTTGCATGTTCTCAGGGTATCCTTCACACCCTGGATATGGGGGCTCTCGTGGCCTAGAGGTTAAGGTGTTGACCTCTCATTCAAAGGTTCAAAGGTCCCAGGTTCGAATCCGGGTAGCGACTGAACAATTTTCTTCTCTAAAATTGTCTCCTTTCACATCCTTTCCTGCTCTAGCAATGCTCTGTTGTCTGCTTTCATTTCCACTTTCTGCCCCCACCCCCTCACCTCATTTGCCCCCTCCTCTAGGCTCCTGACTCTTTCTGCAGCCTTACTACTGCTACTCCTTGGCTCCTCCTTACTGCTGTCTTTCTGCCACACCCCTGATCTTTTGGTAGGAAAGATCTACACCTAGCCTCCTCGGACAAGGGCGAAAAATCTCGGAGGGCTCGTGTGCAAGTTGCGCACGTTAAAGATCCCTTGGTGGTCTAAAATCGATAAGAGTAGGCTTCGGCCGCCACACGGGCAAAATTCAAAATTTCCTACCAAATGAAAATATTAGGTGTGTCCCGCGCGCTCATATGACCTTGTGCAGTTGCGAGCGCTGTAAAATACTTTACAAAAACAAAACAAAAAAACCCCAAAAACCACGCCCTGGATCCAGGTCTTATTTGGCGTTCCTCTTGCTTTGTACCCTGATACTTTCCTGTAGTAGGCTTTACTGGCAAACTGGTTAGGTACCATCAGAGAGGTACCATACGTGTGAGATGTCCAAACCACCATATTGTTTGCCTTCGGATGTAGTGGAGGACAGGTATTGTTCCCACCATTTCTCTGATCTAGTTGTTTCTGACCATGTCCCGTCTTTTAATAATTTGTATCTCTAAATTGTGTATCTTTTCCTGCTTTTTATTTTCAACTTTTAGAATTTGAATTTCTACAAAACATTCCTCCAGCACATGCAACCACAGATTAAGAAACTAATGTTTACCCAAAAATAGTACAATTCTGGGCTCACTATTTCGAAACAGCTGGTCGACGACATGTGTGCCCTAGTTCTCTATGAGTTTCGATGGTGAGTCGAATTGTTCTAGAGACGGCTTAGTGCGGGGTTTTCAGCCAGTCCTGATCTTGTGGTTTCTCTGAAATCCTCACATATGAGCGGATGCAGAATGATGCCTCCACGAGATATTTCTTTTGTTATTTAATTTTTCTTTTACGTCTGTTCTTTTTTTTCTCGGCACTAAATGGCAATTATAGTGTTTTACCCTAGCAGATACATGGAGTTACTACATGTGCTAAGTCATGTAGAATAGATTCACTGAGCGGAAGAACACACAACTAATGTTGGTTTAAATACTGGTATGGTGAGATATGACAAGTGTCGTTGCGTGTGATATCAAATGGGGCGGTCTAGTATAGTCTGTTTTGATATATACAATAAGGAAAGATGGTGATTTACGATTTATGATATGGTCTGATAAGTAGGGAATTGTGTTCTCTATGATTTTGTTTAAAGCCCTTTTCCATAAAACGGCTATCAAAGAGGAAATACTTCCGAATGTCTTAAAATCATTCGGTTTGATTGAACCAAGTGAGTGGAAAGATGGGAAAATGTGTTGAGCAATAAACAAATTGTATACATGTCAAGAAACATTTAAAAAATCATTGGGAAACGTATATTACGTGGATAGCCCGAACCGCAGTACAAAGTGAAATTAAACAAAGCTTAAGGTGTACCTGAGAATAATTATATGACGCGGCGTTCCACTTCACATGTGACACCACCATTGTTTCGTTACATACATGAAATCACTGTGCTTGCTAGTGCAGGTAAGTGAGGCCAGTATAATTTTAGATCTAAATAGATTCAGGTTTGCAAGGGCGACCCCAGACAGTATACCGTCCTCTGTTTCTGTTGACTTTGAAACCCATCAGCCCTGCCCTCCTTTCTGACTCCTCCTGCATTCTGACCCCTCCCCC